AAATAAACCGCGTGGTGCAAATCATCAAAATATGTCGCCGGAGGATGATCTTTAACTGACGTGGAACTCAAGTGATCGTTTGAATAATTATAACCCTTGAGTGAGCATCCCAAGAAACTATGACTCTCCCCTTTCCTGTCAATGATGATACAGAAGGAGACACAAAAGGGAAATACTTTGGCAAAAGTGTTTCGTGCGCCAGTTGTAGGTTTTCACAATCACACTCACCTCGGTGACTTACTTTCTCGTACGTGATTGTGAATGTCACTGCTGTCATCTTCGTTACTGTATCGGACGTGTGGGGTTTCTGTGTCTTTGTTTTCCACTATTGTCCCATGAGAACCCCAAAAAGCGAGGACACCATGACTTTCCACCTCAGAGTAAAAGCGAGGTTTCTGTATCTCTGTCTTCACCGGATCTATGTGCGTGCGGATATAACAGGCACCACCCGGCTTAAATCGATTGTCACGTGCTCCTCAGAATCTCCTCTTACCTTGCACCCACAACTTTGGCAAATGTTTTGTCTCTCTAACACTTCCCGTTTTTGTCCGACGCCGAGAAAATCACCAGCCATGTCCGAACCCAACGGATCAAGAAAGCACTGCTGCCTGAGAGAAGAGCAGAGGAGGCTACCCCCCAAGAGAGGCCTCGTCAAGAAGAGGATCTTTGCTTCTATTGTGAAGTTCTTCAAGAGAGACAGGAGACAGAAAGAAGGAGACGGCAACGGCGACGGTGCCGACCGCAAAAATTGCAACCAGCAAAATGGCACAGCCCAAATGTGTATGTAGTTACTGCATCATGGATTTCTAGTGGATATATAGTCTGACTAGACCAGGATGCTTCCTTGGCATTGCCTCTACATGCTTCTTCCTCGTATTCTACTTCCTTTACCTTTTTATGCCACAGTACAAGCTTCTTGGTGATCACGGTTGGCCAAGGATCATGTACATAACCCACTCATTCTCAATGATAACGGCTGCGAATCTTTGGGCTCACATGAACTCAGTGCATCTAGTTAAAAAACTCACGTGTCGGACCGGCTCGAGAGACAGCAGTCAAGGTGATATGTATGAAATGTTTCGGACTCCATGAGAGAGGGAAGTAGATCGACCATCTCTAACTTGGTTTGCTTGGTTGAGCCCATTAGCACTTGAAAAGGTAGGACTCTAAACCCTTTGAGTGTCTGCACACATGCATGGAAGTATGCTGTACTCGTATGAGTAGGGGTGAGCAAGATAAACCGCCCAAATCGGGACCGGACCGGACCGACCGGTTTGGTCCAGTTCTCGGGAATATCGGTCTGGTTCCCGGTTCTAGGGTGGGAACCGGACCTGACCGGACCGATAAATATATATTTTCTTAATTTTTTCATTTATATAATATTTAATATATATGAAAAATATTTAATATTGGTCCCATAGGAACCGATTGTTCAATTTTTTCATATATTATGTATATTTTTCCAATTTTTCCACGGCATTATGGGATCAAATCAGAACTACAAAGGAAAGAATGGAATAATTGGTTCTCGGTTCACAAATAATATTTAATATTGATTCCATTGGAACCAGTCCGGTTCAGTCCACGGTCCTAAGACTAGCCGGTTCGGTCCCCGGTCCTAGAAATTGCGAACCGGTCCTCCCGGTTCTTGGATTGAACCGGACCGGACCAGAAAACGCTCACCCCTGTGTATGAGGGCAAATACAATTGATCCGTTCTTGGCTGGCGGTAAAATGTACTTTCCATAGGCACGTTACTGGTAAGCTAGTCATGATAATCTTTGTCCAGAAGACCAAAAATGTATCTCGATGGTCAACTTTTCGCGATCTGCGCACCCTTATTTACTAGTTAACTTCATGTGCTTTGGTAGGTTCCACAAGTGGAATCTATGACCTACCCTATTAGGACTAATTTTTTTTTTAGGAACCTGGAAGCTACTATATTTGTCTCGAAACTAGTTCCGGAACTTCTTTTTCTGGTTAGGTTTCAAGGTTTACCCAAAAACCTATTTTTTTTTTTCTGATTTCATTTTTTATATAATAATAATATGAGTAATGAAACGATTTAAAGTAAAAGATGAATAACAGAAATCTCTATCCGTCAAAAGCAACAATCCATAAGACGAATACGTAGTCACGTACAAATCTAAACGATAAAAAGTTCAAACATGTAATATAAAACATAATTATAAAACTCCGTCCCTTATTCATCGTTAAAAATATTACTCCAAATTCTAACCACCTAAGAACAAAAAACATAGCTAATCACTTAACGGTAGTTTAATCTAAATTAGTATTAAAAATTAAAACAATTAATAGAAATACTCATCACATATATTCATTTTACTTCAACTCGTGAACTCTATTTACCAATGATAATGTTCTCGGTAAGGCAATCCAAATCTAAAGAACAAAGAAGAGATTGAATAAAGCATTCACTCGTTACATAGATAAGTTTTTTTTTTTTTTGGTCAAGAGTTACATAGATAAGTTACAGGGTTACAAAGATCGAATAAAAAATACATGATTTATCTAATTCAAACTTTTCCGCATTCCAAGAAAAAAGAAAGAGAGAAAGAAAAGAAATAAAAAAAAAATATATTTAATTAAATAAAAACTGCGAGAAAATCTATGAAAAGATTTACATCCACGATGCCAAACTTTCTCTTGACTCCCTTCCATAAAAGCGCGCTTGCGTCTCTCTCTCTCTATACATATTATATACAATATATATTATATATAATTAAACTCCCCAAATAAAATAATTAAAAAAAAAGGAAATGAAGAAAGACCCCATTTCATAATTTCATCCATATCTCCCTCGTCCCGCTCTGGTCTTCAGTCTTCGCTTTCTCTGCCCGAAGAATCAAACGCGTCTCTCGGTCTACAATCCCTAAGAAGGAAGTCTCGGTCTTGCCGGAGAATGCGATTTCTGGCTAGTCTCCGTCCGTGAGAGCCTTCATTTCCGGACCTCAGAGGGAGGGCTCAAATGGCGAGCGAGCGCGCTCAGCCTGCGATCTCTCGGAGGAGAAGACGAAGGAGCCGCGAGGGTTCCTGCCGGCGAGAAAGCGCGAGCGCGACTGCCCCATGTGAGCGAAGAGGAAAGAAGAGCCGCGACCTATGTCTGAGAAACAGAGGAAGAAGACAAAGAAGGAAAGGATGCAAGAGCAATTACGGTTTTCATCTTTTGTGAAATCGGTCCGGTGGGTCCAATTTCCGGGTGATTCTTCACTCAAAACCAGAAACTAGACCGATTCCCTCCGGTTCCAAAAAATTGTAACCCCGAATTGAACCTATTTTCAGACCGCTGAACCTATTTTTAGGACGGTCTGGTCTGATTCCCAAATAAATGCGGTTCCTTTGCACATCCCTAAGCTAATTAAGTACAACGATGCAGAATGGCAACGCAACTTGTCGGGTATTGCATGCTTGCAACAGTTTTTTTTGTAGTTGTTTGTGTGGAGTCGCGATGTATTGATATCTACAAACGCTTCTAAGGGTGCGAATGGTAACCATTCTGCTCCAGAAATAAAATTCTTGCCAGAAATTGATTTCTGGATGAGAAATCTGTTTGGTAAAACATGACTAATTCTGCTCCAGAAATTAATTTCTGGAAGAGAAATCTGTATGATAAAACAGGAGGAAATTTTCTTGTGGAGAAAGTCCTTTTTCCCAAAAATGATAGCCCCATGTTAACTGGCTTAAGTCGCTATCTACATTTGTGAAGATTTGTCTTCTCAGCTTCACAAATATGTCCATATTTAATGTCGAGTCTAAATACATCTTGGAGGCATATCACTTTGTTTCTAAGAAACATGCCTTGGCAGGATTTGTTGAATTTGGTTCCTTGTGTTCTTGAAATCTAATGCAAGAAACAACAGTTGAAAGTTAAGTTGTGAACGGATAATCACCAAATCTTATGAAGTATTTTAAGCCTTTCGCACATGATCTCCAGCAGGTATGCTACTGCCATCCTAGATTGCAATGCCGGGATAATAAACTTCGTATATGGAGAAGATAAAACTCGATCAGATAGATCAGAGAAGGAAAATACAGTTATATGGTAAGGGCTTAGATTATGTGATTCCTATTATCTCATTTTCCTGTTACTTTAGACGCTATGAGGGCTTTGTGTGGGAAATTTTTTGCTTCTGCTCGCATTTCCTTTCTACTGAATTCTCCAAGAATAGTCAACAGAGGGAAGATTAACTAAGTTGAGTTGGTAATTGAACTAAGACCATTCTCCAAAACTTCAGCAATTAATTAAGGGAAAAAGAAAGGTAATGATAAACTTGAGATTCGCATGTGCAAAATAAACAGATTTATGGTACTTTTAAGAGCGGATGGCGAGATCCAAGCATTTGTAAAGTCTCAACAAACCGAAGATGGCAAATTTATTAGAATTTTTCTGTCATTCACAAGCCCAACAAGAGAAAGTGCAAGACCTAATGAGAGACTAAGAGTACTAGCACCCCAATTCGCCAGTCCCCTCTTCGAAAAATGCTTCCTCAAATCAAGAAAAGCTTTCTAGCTTCAGTTGCTCTAACATTGTTTCCAACAGTCCTCGCTTTGCACATCTTACTGCTCAAAATTGATAAAAATAATAAGAAACCGACATTACTCTAAATTCAAAGAGAGGAACGCGAATAACACACCAATTACAAGCAACTTTAGACCATTCAATTCCCCGAAGAGACATTACATGAAAGCAAAGCAAACGATGTCAAACATGAGTCACTGGGCATTCAGTTTTTTTGGGAGCACACATTGCAAACCTGAAGCTTGGAGAGTATCCTGCAATTCCCAAGCCATCACAAAATACCAGCAAACCGAGTTATCTATTGAAACACAACCAAGTCTTCTTATTTTAGATTAATCGAGTGCCTGGTAGCAAACAAGTCATGGAACAACAGTAAGTAGTTAGAAGCAACAGGCAAAGCTCGCAAAACAAATAGCCACCCCTATTCCACTGCTACCTTGGTTAGCCATAGACAAATTGGACGAACAATCGCATACCCAGAGAAGCTAATGACCACGGCTCAAACTCTAAACTGTACAGAATGATCTGCATTCTGCCAATATCTACACCTAAATTAAAGAGTCGAATCAACCAAGAAGATTTCAACATCCCTGAAACACATCTATGGCTCATTCTTCAGGCATTACATGAACATTCAACAAAGAATCAGCTACAACCTATGACAAATATCTTCCTTTCTGACCTCAAAACAGCACATGGAACACGTCAGCTAAACATAGTTCATAACTTCATACATAAACCAATTCACCTAAAACAACAAAAAGCTCTAACCTTTAATCACGGCCTTCATCCAAAATCATCTAAGCTTCTCCTTGGCCAAGCTCTTCCTCACAGCGTCCTTGACCTTCTCTATGTACCCTTCAATTGGCGGCGTGAGTGTCTCCATGAAGCGGTTTGCAGGGAAAGGTGTCAAATCTGGCACCAGCGCCGCCTCTCGCAGCTTCTCCGGCAGCGCCTCAATCGCCTCCTTCTTCATCCGCAACAAATTACTCTCCACAGCCTGCCTCGCCATATGCCTCCTCATCAAAACCCTAGAATACTCCTTCGCGAGCCGCCTTCCATCCTCGACCGTGAGCCCATACTTCGGAATCTTATCCGCATTGACCAGTCCCAACAAGATCAAAAATTAGCTTCTTTTTTTTGGTTCTTAACACATTCCGGAAGCAAAAACTCATTCTGGAACAAAAAAAAAAAAGTATTTTTACCAAACGCGTTTTTGCTCCAGAATGCAAAAATTCCTCCAAAATGCATTCCGGAAATTTTTTAACAAACGCATTTCTGTTCCAGAATGCATTTTGGAGTAGAAATTTTGCTCCAGAATGGATTCCATGCGCGCCCTAACCTGCTAGTTTTGAGGTTTCGTGGGAATAGGATATGTGGCTCACGTGGCCCAACAAAATGAAAGTCTTTCTTTTCGTTAGATTTACATAAAAAGCGGCAAAAGTACACCACAAGTACCATAACTTGTGTACGGCGATCACTTTGGTGCCATAACTTTTTTTCGGATCACTTTGGTGTCAAGTCGGAGGAAAAGAGAACACTTTAGTGCCAATTTGGCCGGAAATCCGACGTGGCATTTTTTATTAATTTTTTACGCTGACGTGGCTCGCCGGAGGCTGAGTCAGCGTGTACAGTCAGCATTTTTTTTATTTTAAATAAATTTTTCTAGCTTGTACAGTCAGCATTTTTAATTTTAAATATTTTTTTCCTTTTTTTTTTCTTTCCTTTTTCTTTTCTTTTCTTTTTTTTCTTTTCTCCCCTCGCCGGCCGGCCACCGGCGAAGCCCAAGAAGGGCTGGGCGAGGGCGCCCTTGCCCATGGCCGGCGAGGGGCGGCCTCGCCAGATCTGGGCGAGGCGACCCTCGCCGGCGACAGGCGAGGCCGGCCCTCGCCGGATCTGGCGAGGGCGACCCTCGCCGGCGGAGGGCGAGGGAAGCCCTCGCCTGGGCGGGCGAGGGCCGCCATCGCCGGATCTGGCGAGGGCGACCCTCGCTGATGTCGGGCGAGGGAAGCCCTCGCTTGGGCGGGCGAGGGTCGCCCTCGCCGGCGTCGGGCGAGGGTCGCCCACGCCCGACTCAGCGAGGGCTTCCTCGCTGACACCGGCGAGGGTCGCCCTCGAGTGGTCGCCTCGCGTATCCGGCTGCTGGCGCTGGGCCGAGGGGCGGCCTCGCCTATCGCCGGCGAGCGTCGCCTCGCCCAGATTTGGCGAGGCCGCCCCTTGCCGGCCATGGGCAAGCCTCGCCCAGCCCTTCCCGGGCTTCGCCGGTGGCCGGCCGGCGATCGGCAACCGGCCGGCGAGGGGAGAAAAGAAAAAAAAAGAAAAGAAAAGAAAAAGGAAAGAAGAAAAAAAAAGGAAAAAAAATATTTAAAATTAAAAATGCTGATTGTACACGCTGGAAAAAATTATTTAAAATAAAAATGCTGATTGTACATGCCGACTCAGCCTCCGGCGAGCCACGTCGGCGTCAAAAATTAATAAAAATGCCACGTCGATTTCCGGATCAAATTGGCACTAAAGTGATCTCTTTTCCTCCGACTTGGCACCAAAGTGATCCGAAAAAAAGTTATGGCATCAAAATGATCGCCGTACACAAATTATGGCACTTGTGGTGTACTTTTGCCCATAAAAAGCACATAAACCCCGTACACAACATATTTTAATACCCCATCTAACATACAAACCGGATTAGGAACGACACGTGGAGTTCAATGAAGGGCCGCACATGCGAATAAACCGTTGCAGAATCTAACTTTAATACCATATTAAAAAGTCGAACCCAAAAACTTAAATTTATAAATATAGAGAGACCACCGCGTTCGTAGAAAGAGCATATAAACCCTGCAGATGATCAACTTTGGGATACTTTAACAACGTGTACAGCTGCATTCTCTTGTTCATTCCAAAAGAGAAGTTCTCACCATTTTTTTCATTTGGCGGGGAACGTGTTTGTTGACATAATTTCAAAAGGCAAAATCTTGGAGTGACTCACATGGAGATCTGATCCTTTTGTTCTCAGTCAATGGCTGTGGGACTAGGGGTACAGCTGCATTTTCCTTTTCCTTCCATAAGAGAGGAGAGCTTTCACCATTTTTAAATCTTGCGGAGAACATCTTTCTTCGCCGCACTTTAGAATTTGAGAAGGTAATATCTTATTAGTGGGTCCTCTCTGCTCTGGATTCCTGGTTCAAAATGTGGATTGAAGATCTTTCTTTTAGTCAATTTATCGTCTCGAAATTTCAAAAGTGAGTCAAGCGAGTCAATTAATTCTAATCCTAGTCTTGCCAGATACATATTTAGGTAAGATTTGCGAAAAGAAATCAAGATGTCCTTTCTACAGTTTGGGTCTTAGCTTTTCTTTTCTCTTGTTTTTTGCCATATAGTGTTGGACTAGTAGTTTGGGTCCTAGTTCATTGTTTTGTCAATTGTGATCGAACTCTGTTAAAGCATATCTTGTCACCCACATGCGTTGGAGTGATCGGAACCGATCATTTGGAATTGACTCGCGATGACCCAAGATTGACTCGCACCGACTCTAGCTAGCCCATCGAGGAAGAACACCGGGATTGATTGTTATTGACCCTTGATGAATGATGATCCCTAGGATTGCCAGATGACGTTGTGAGATCCAATGACCAACTTGAATCGATAGCGATGATCTGAAGTGGTCGATGATTTGCCAGGATCCTTCGGCTGGCAATGGCTGCTAATCTTGAACTAGCGAGGATGGAGCATCGATCGGCGATAATCATTGAACAACGGGTAGGAAAACAGTTCGAATGGATTTAATAGAGGACAAAGCAGTGTTGACCCGGGCTCGATTTTGAAGCACTTCCAGCCAGATATATGTTGACCGAGATGGATTGGCTACCACTTGGGAAAAACTGGCGGCAATCTGAGAGTGTCTATGATTGCAATAGCCTAAAAATGAGCGGTGATGATTCGCGACTGAATGATATCGGGACATTGTAAAGTCATTGAAAGATCTATAATGACTCAAAATTGCTGAGTTAGATGTACAGACATTTCAAAGATTTTAGGTAACTCTGTGTAATACGTGTCATTCGCTCGATCAAACACGATTGTGGTGCTCCATCATTAGTTGGGTTGGCCATCTCGGGAGTGGTGCTAGCTAAAAAGAATGAGTGTTCTATTAGGAATATGAATCAACATCTAACGAAGTACAAATATCAGACACCAAATCCGGCCGATATGGCCATCGGACGTGGCCGTAGGATGATATGGATAAAATTAATTCCAACATGGACATCCACGTGGGCTTTCATGTCAGCTAAATTTTATCCACATCATACTTCAACATTATCTATAGTAAGTAAAATTTTCCACAAGCATCCCTGGGAGGCATCTGCATGGTTTTTTGGAAATCACACTTTGGTATCGTTTGAGAGCAACGTCAGCCAAATTTGGATGGATTTAGTGTCGGAGGGACTTGATAAAAAAATATTTGAAAGACTAAAACTTTAATTGGATAAATTAAAAACGCATGGACGCGATTAGAAAAGGCGTGAAAGTACATGAACCGGAAAGTAGAATCGGTGTCTTAAAGTAGGCGGGAGCAAGACGGACCGACCGAACCGGCCGGTTCTGGGCGGTTCCAAGCGGCGCCGATCTTCCCGGTTCCATAAAATTGGAACCGGCGGTTTTCGGTCCGGTTCTAGAGTGGTGACATATATTTTATTATTTTTATAAATTCTTAAACTGTAAACCTAATTTACAAACCCTCTGCTAGTTCCACAATCTCCTCTCGAGGAGGCACTGTCACTAACCCAAAGCTAATGTAGGCAACGGAGGCTCTTCCTTATCTGTCCAGCCGCGACAAGCACCTGCTTTCGTTAGAAGCGCGTGGTGTAGTGGCTATGAGGTTGAAAGGACCAACGTTGAGGAAGTTGTTGCGCTTTGGACTCGAGATCATCCGTTACTGTTGGGTCCAGCTCCTCAGAAGCTGTTCAAGAACACACCGCAGCTGCCCTCGGCAAGGCTCTGCCCATGTCGCGAAGCAAGCCGGAGAAGAGTAAGGTCCAAGGCCCCCTAACACGACTCCTTCTGGCAAGTCCCTGATGCGCACTCTCAACATTCCGGGGATGAAGTGCAGGGTCTCATCTTCACGCCCTTCAATTCCCGCAACTCCAAAAGGACTCCCCTCCACTTGTTATTTGAGTGGCTCATGGTTACACTATGGTCATAGAATGCGTACTATTGAACTTCTCTTCAACAAAGTGTTTTCGCTTGGTTCAACGAGAAGGAAGAGGTATTGTAACTAGGGGCTTTACATAGCATGACTGGGATCCATTGGATCATCCGAGAACCGGACCCGGTCCCAGGGCTTGGTGGGTCGGTTCATAGTTCCGAAAACCAGGATCCGGTCCCTCTGGTCCGGTTCTCTAGGATTGGACCGGATCAGAAACCAAACACCCATATCGTAGAGGTGCCTTAGATATTATTAACGCAATTACTATTTTATCCCCCGAGTGTAATCAAATCTCCGACAGTGGCAAAAACGAACACCTGCCTTTCAAATTCGATCCAAAATGTACAAAATGTTTCGAAAGCGCGCATCGCCAACTGACTGAAAACCGCTCGCTTCTTCAGCACCGGAAGACGGTTGGCTTAGAATGAGAGCGCTCGTCATCCTCGGCTCCTCCACCTCCTCCGCCACCGCCACCGCCACCACCCTATCTCCACCTCCTCCCTACCACCACCACCACCACCAGCGCTCCACCAGGCCTCCCTCCCTCTCCCGATCACCCCCTCCCTCGATCTCCACCGTCCACTCCCTCCCCGCCTCCCTCTCCGCCCTCCGATGCGACCCCAAGCCCCAGCTCCGCACCCTCGCGGACCTCGCCTCCGGGCTCGCCGCCGACGGCCGCCTCGACGACTTCGCCGCGGTGGCGGATCACGTGGTGGCCTCCGGCGCCGAGGCTTCGCTGTTCGTCGCGGAGCTGGACGTCGAGCTAGTGGGGAGGGGGCTGGCTCGAGGCCTCAGGGAGGGGAGGCTGTGGAGCTTCGTGGAGGCGCTGCGGATGGTGGAGAAGCTGGGAATTGCGCCGGCAAAGTTTGTCGACGGCGCGATGATGAACTTGCTGGGGAAGGAGTGTGATCG